CAGTCCGCGGACGCCTTGCGTGAGGAGGGCCTGAAGAACCTGACCGCGTCTGCCGCGGCGCTGCGGGAGGAGCTCGAGAAGTTCAGAGCCGACCAGGAGGATAAGCTGGCGAAGCAGAGGCTAGTGTGGAACGTGCTCGAGGAACACAAGAACAAGACTTACAAGTCGCTCCTGCAGACGAACGTCGCGATCGACGCCTTCAAGACCAACGCGACAAAGGCCTCTCAGGCTCTCGAGCTCGCCCTGGCGGAAGCGCGGTCCGAGGCCTTCAGGAATCTTTCCGCCTCGGCGGAGGGCACGGGGAAGAGCCTCGCGGAGGCCAGGGCGGCCTTGGAGGCGGTGAAGGCCGAGGCGTTCGCGGCGCTGGAGGACCACAAGGCGCGGGTCGCGGCCAATTTCTCCACGCACCAGGCCACCTCGACCCAGCAGCTGGCCGCGCTGCAGGTCGCCAGCTTCAAGAACATACTGCCGCCTGCGGCAGGCCTCGCCCGCCGAGGCAGGTGGTTTGCGTGCAGGGTGGTTCCACCGAGATCTCCTGAGCAGGCTTTGTGGCCGTCCTGGGGTCGTTGTGGGACGCAGTGCTCGTGATGCTGCGACGTGGCATGGCCGTCGCGTTGCCTCGTGGGGTCTTCTTGGAGGCTGCTCGGGGGCGTCGTTGTGGCCTCTTGGGGGCCTCTAGGGTCTTTCCGACGGGCCTGGCCAGGGCCCTTTTGAGGGTCTTGAGGCCGTCTTGGGGTCGCTGGTTGTGCCAACCTCTCCCGAAGAGGCACAGCATGAACCATCTCGGGGCCGCCTCGTCGGGTCTTGGGGCTCTCCTGGAGGCCTACTTCGGCTGTCCTGGGCCATTTTGGGAGGTTCTCGGGTCGTCTTGGGTCTTCTGTTGGCCGTCTCGAGCCATCTTTTGGGCTTGTTTGAGGGGAAGCCTGGGGGTCTCCGAAGCCTTCTGAAGGCAATTTTTTTTGGCAGGAGCGCCTGCGAAGCAAAGTGCATTGATCTTTGGTCTCCCAGGGCCTTGCTGGAGGGCGGGGCTCCCAGGCCTGTCGGAGCACCTTGGGTGCAGTTGTTTTAGCCGCGCGTGGGATCTTTGGCCTGTCTCGGGCCCGTCTGGGGGCATCTTTGCATTCGTCTCGAGGCGAGCGCCAGCGGTCAGCGCAACAGAGAGTCCTTCTTCCAGAGGGATGCGCCAGCAGGGGGCGTCCCTCTCGGCACCTGCACGATCCGTAGCAGAAGGACACCCGGAATTCTGACATGCCCCAACGTGCCGAGTGCGCGGTGGCGGGTCTCGGACACGGCTGCGGCTCTCGAGGCCCACAAGGCTGCAGCAGCGGACACTCTTGCTGCGCACAGGGCCGAGGGCTTCAAGAACCTGACGGCCATCCATGCCGCCTTGGAGGACCACAAGAAGGATGCCACCAAAACGTTCGGCGCGCAGAAGGAGGAGGCCGACAAGGCCAGGGCGGACATCCTCGCGACGCTAGATGCGCACAAGGCCGCGGCCGCCGACGCGCTGGCGAGGCAGCGGACAGAGGGCTTCAAAAACATCACGGAGGCCTTGGCGGCCCTGGACACCCACAAGGCCGAGGCAGCAAGGTCCCTCGCCGCTCACAAGGAGGAGGCCACGAGGGCCCTCGCCGCTCACAGGGAGGAGGCGGCGAAAGGCCTCGAGAGTGCGAAGGTCGAGGCGGCGACCGCCCTTGCCGCTCACAAGCAGGAGGCTACGAAGGGCCTCGCTGACGCGAAGGTTGAGGCGGCGACCGCCCTCGCCGCTCACAAGGAGGAGACTAAGAAAGGTCTCGCAGACACGAAGGTCGAGGCGGCGACCGCCCTTGCCGCTCACAAGGAGGAGACCAAGAAAGGTCTCGCGGACACGAAGGTCGAGGCGGCGACCGCCCTTGCCGCTCACAAGCAGGAGGCCACAAAGGGCCTCGCGGATGTGAAGTCCGAGGCGGCGATGGCCCTCGTCGCTCACAAAGAGGAGGCTGCGAAGAGCCTCGAGATAGTGAAGGGAGAGGCGGCGAAGGCTCTCGCCGCACATAAGGAGGAGGCCACGAAGGGCCTCCTTGATGTGAAGACCACCCTGGAGACGACTCACAAGGCGGAGGTCGCCAAGCTCTCCGACGCCCACAAGGAGGCCTCTGCCAAGGCCAAGGCGGACCTGGAGAGCCACCGGGCCGATCTCACCAAGGAGCTCGAGAGCCTGCGGGGCTCCAGCTTCAAGAACCTTACGGACGTGTCTTCCGCGCTGGAGGCGCACCGCAAGGAGACGGCAGCCAGCTTCGGCAGCCACAAGGCGGAGGCGTTCAAGAATGTGACGGAGGCCGTCACCGCCCTGGAGGCACACAAGAGCTCCACGGCCAGCGGCCACAGCAGCCTCAGCGAGCAGCTGGCGGGGCACCAGGCCGAGGTGAAGAGGAGCCTGGCTGCCCAGCAGGCCACCCTGGACGTGCACGCGGCGAACCTGACGAAGATGCTGTCCGCGTTCAAGCAGCTGCTGGGCTGATGCGGCAGGGCTCGGCGATCGCCGCTCCGCAGCGGCTGCGCCGGCGGCCGAACGAAGGCGAGGCCGCGAGCGCAGGCGCGAGCGCGCTCTGGACGGGGCGGCGCACGAAGCCCGCCAGTGCAGCAGCGACCCAGACATCCGACGTCGTGATCTGCTCGCCCCAGAGGTATGCGCCCCTTTCTCAGCAGCCGTTTCTGATCCCGGGCCGTTTTTGGAAGGCCCCAGGGCTTGCGAGGGCCCTGGGAGGCCGAACATCGCCAGAAGCTTCGGTGCCGCGATTGGTCTTGCACGACGCCAGGATGTCAGGGGATGCCACCTGCGAAAGGAGGTACACCTTTTGTGCACCTTAGGGGCCCTGAAGGTGCCCTAAAGGGGCACGCAAGGTGCACGTCTCGTCGCCCCACGGTGTATCGCCTCCCGTGAAGTAGCGCCCTCGCTCGCTCTGCCGGGCCGCCCTGCATATCGCCCTGCACAGGCGGAGTGCCGCCCGCGGTCGTTTTGCCGAGGGCGGGCACCCGCTTGCGCCGCGCCCTCTCCGAGCAGAGGGGGGGAGGTTAGAGGCTGTTTTTCCTTGGGCCCAGGTGGGTTTACTTGCATGGCAGTTCCCCCCCCCCCCTTCCGCCGCGTTTTCAAACAGCGCTGTGCTAGAACGGCGTGCACGTGAGTCCCGACTTGCACGAATTCCAGATTTCCCTTCGGGCCTCGCCATGCCCCCCCCCTCCATGCAAGTACACTTGCCGGAACCTGGAGAAAAGTTGTCTCTGTTGGGGGGGGGGGCGGGGAGGTTTTTGGGGGGGGCGGGGGGCCCGTCGAGACCTCCGCGGTCCTCCCTGGTGTTTTCTGGCCTCCCTGGGCCTCCTGCAGGCCTCTCGCCGCCACGGCTGGATCCGCATCGGAAAACGGACGCAGTTGGGCCGGGTCCTCCGAGAGGGGGGCGGGGGGGGGGGGAAGAGGTGGACACACATTGATTGCAGCGCCCGCGGGCGATGGAAACGGGCGGCGCTCCTCCCCTTCCCGCCGCCCTCGAGCCGCCCGCTGCTCTCGTCCTCGGAGGCTCACGAGCCGACGCCGCCGCGAAGGCCTGGGGGCCGCCCGAGCATTGAGCGGCGGCGCGCGCAAGGGGGGGAGGCAGAGGGGGCGGGCCTTCACAGAAGGCTCAGGAGGCCTCCGGCCTTCTGGGAAGCTTTCTGATCAAGCCTTGTGCGAAGCCGCGCAGGGCTTCTCAGGGTGCTTCTCAGAAGCCCTGCAGCCCTTTGAGGAGGCCTGCCCCTCTCGCATCCCTCCTCGGTGCACAGCCGAGTCTAGATCACCTGGGCGCCCAGATCGTGGGTCAGTGCCTTCCCTGGTGTGGCATTCTTGATTCTTAGCGTAATTATCCCCACCAGCCCATCCAGCAACGATGCCTAGGCGATTTTCCTTGATCAGGGAAGTGGGGCAGAATTCAGTGGGACAAGGAGCTGGGGAAGCTGTCAAATGGAAGCCTTGGGTCAGCCTGAGAGGACCCGTCAAGCCTTCGCAGATCTTTCGCTCCGTGAGCCTTTTGGAGGCCTCCTTGGAGGCCTTTTGTAATCATCTTGGAGTCCTTTTGGAATCTTTTTGGGCCCTCTTGAGGCTCTCTTGGGGGCCTCGTGTTGGGGCTTATTGGAGGCCCCTCGGGGGCCCTGGGAGGCCTGTTTGGTGTGATCTTGGGCCCCATCGGTCAAAAAAAGAGCGGCGGAAATTGAGGTCTCCCCTCGGAGGCAGAACAAGTGCCTCTTGGGGCGCTCTTGGGGCCGTTTTGGGGCCTTCTTGGACCTCTTGGGGCTCTCTTGGGCCATCTTGGGGTCATCTTGAGGCCTCAGAAGCCCATTGGAGAAAGGCGAGATTGCAAACAAAAGTGGTGTTCCTACTCGTTTTTGATGGATGTGGCCTCTTAGGGGAGACCTTGGAGAGTTCGGGGAGCACTTGAGACCGTCTTGAGCCCACCTTGGAGTCTGTTGGATGCATACCGGAGGCTATCTTGCGCCATCTAGAGCTATCTTGAGCCATTTTGGAGGCCATCTTGGGCTCTCTGAGGCGCTCTTGGAGTCATCTTGGGCCGTCTTGGGCGCTCCAACCTCCCGATCACGCCCCCGCCCAGACCCAGGGAGGGGGGGATGCAAACCTCCACGAATAGGGGAAGGGAGGACCTGGAAAAAGATACGCTCTAGACCACCTGCGCCCAGAGGGCTGGTGGATTTGTTCAATGCGCGGCCCCAGGGTTCCCGACACCGTTTCCAGGGCCACTTGTTCGGTCCTGGGGTCCGATTGCTGTCCCAGATGCCGAAGTCGAGGAACAAGCCCAGATTGAACCGATTATTTTGGCGAAGGACCCATATGCAGCTTAGAGTATCGTGAGGCAGGTGGGATGAAGGAGCGTGGCCAGCAAAGGGACTGCGGCGGCATTGCGGCGTGGATGAGAGGAAATCAGATATGAGACATGAGCTCGCGGGGAATCCCTGGGCGGCGGGGCCGCCCTGCGGACCCTGCCACTGGGCCTTCGGCGGAGCGCCGTATGGGGCCTCGAAGCGTATTGGGGGTGTGCCGATGTGGGGCGGGGCCGACCTGCGGACTCTGCCACTGGGGCATTCGGTGGAGGTCCTTGCGATGCCACGAAGACTGTAAGGGATGTGCCGAGATGGTGCGGGGCCGGGAAACGGACCCTGAGACTCGGGCCGTCTGTGGAGCTGCCTATGTTACATGTACGCCAGCGTCGGCCAGCGGAAGGGCGGCAGAAGCCAGCGGAATCCAGCGAAAGGAAAATTGGGTTCCCCAAGAGATGTCAGCATTTTGGGGTTCAGGGTTTCCAGAACCATTCATGTGTACATATATGTGCACATACTTATCTAGACACATGCACAATACATATGTATATATATATGTGTGTATATATATATATATATATATATATATATATATATATATCTGTATATCGGAGTAGGGCCCCGGGGCGGTGCCTGTCATCTCCATGGGGTGTGCAGGGCGCCCCCGGGAGCGTCCGAAGCGTCCCGGAGGGCCCCTGGGACCGCCAGGAACAGTTCGAGACCGCCCAAGACGGCCCGCGAGCGCTCCAAGACGCGCATAGATAGCCTCAGGAATGGCCAGGAAGGTCTGAAGACGTTCCAAGAGAGCTCCATGAGGCCCCGAAGGCATCCCCAGAGGCCTCCCAAGAGAGCCGCGACAAGCCAAAATCGTTGATTTTTATTGTTTTTTTTTGAGGTTTTTGGCCTTCTCGCTTTTTCAGGGTTCCGACGCTCCAAGACCGTCCAAGAGTCTCCCAAAACCGCTCCAAGACGGCCGAAGAGGCCCCCAAAACCGCCCCAAGACGGCCCAAACGACCCCCAAAATCGTCCCAAGACGGCCCAGGAGAGCCCCAAGATGGCCCAGGAGCCGCCCAAAACGGTTCCAGGAGAGCCCCGACAGGGCTTCAAGACTGCCTAAGCGAGCCCAGCGGTCCCCAAGAGGGCCCCGCGAGGCCCCAAGAGGCCCCAAAGAGGCCCCCAAGAGCCTCCCCGGAGGCCCCCAAGAGGCCCCCAAGATGCCCAAAAATGGCCCTGAGCGCGCCCCAAGACGCCTCCAGGAGAGCCCCACAGGCCTCCGAGAGGCCCCCAAGAGGCCCACTGGAGGCCCTCAGGAGGTCGTCCCCATCATGTTCCCGGAAGGCGGTCCGGGAACATGATTCCGCGACTTGGAGGAGTATTCTGCGCTTTCCGAGGCGCCTTCCGAGGCGCCCTGGACGAGGTACGTATGTTTCTATAGATTGTCCTTCTCCTGTGTACACAATCCTACATGTCTTATGTATGTTTCTATATACATATAGATGTACATATGTATATGTGTATACACACATAGATATATATATATATATATATATATATGTATGTACCTCCCCCAAGCCCTCCCGAGTCGTGCCACTTCCTTCCACGCATGTCAATTTCTTCCCTATATATACACACACACGCGCCCCAAGACGCCTCCAGGAGAGCCCAACAGGCCTCCGAGAGGCCCCCAAGAGGCCCACTGGAGGCCCTCAGGAGGTCGTCCCCATCATGTTCCCGGAAGGCGGTCCGGGAACATGATTCCGCGCCTTGGAGGAGTATTCTGCGCTTTCCGAGGCGCCTTCCGAAGCGCCTTGGACGACGTACGTATGTTTCTATAGCTTGTCCTTCTCCTGTGTACACAATCCTACATGTCTTACGTATGTTTTCACATATATATATATATGTATATATATATATACACACATACCCCTCCCCCAAGCCCTCCCGAGTCGTGCCACTTCCTTCCACGTATTTCAATATCCTCCCTATATATATATGTGTATGTATGTATGCATGCATGCATGCATGCATGCATGCATGCATGTATGTATGTATGTATGTATGTATGTATGTATGTATGTATGCATGTATAGTGTCCTAAACGAGTGAGCTCCAAGAGCCTCGGGAACCCACCCACCCAACCCCCAAGCCGCCACCCAGCGGCGAGGGGAAGGACAGGGAAACGGACAGGTCCCAAGACATCGGGTCAGGCGGAATTCAAGTGGCGAGGCGAAGCCTCCGAGCGAATTAAAGAAGCAACGTCACTCAGAAATCAATTTCGTTTTTCAGCAAACCGCGATATGACCAAAGCCATGATCTCATCACTGCAGTTCGTGACGTGCTGCAGTGTTCACTCCACAAAACAAGATAACTCCAGTCATTGGAAGAAATCCTGATGAAATTCTTTACGCTTCGCGTATCCCCACCAGCCCATCTCACAACAGCAACTCTTGCGAAGCATGCCGACAGTCGTGTTTTTCAGGCGTGTTTCCGCCTGCCCCCGCATATCTCCCCTGTTCCTCCTTCCTCCCGCCTCCTTGTACATCCTCCTTGTGGTGGGAGCGGGAGAAGGACGAGGCGGAGGAGGAGGGAGAGAAAGCGCTCCTCGTGGTTTGAGTCGTTTGGGGCTTCTCGTCCTGGTGTGAGTCGTTCGGGCCCTTC